TATCTGTTCCCCACTTCTGTCTTCGGGAAAGGCAGGCCCAGGTCATCTCCAAATCCCTGAGGGACCCTACAGGGGTGGGGAAAGAAACTGATGGGAGTGATGGGGGAGAGGTGATGAGGGACAAGGCCACAGTGGCCCACCAGAGGGAGAGGTTGCATTCCCAAGATTGATAGAAGGCTTAGAAGTTTGGGGTCCCTTGAGTAGAACTTGTTCCCTTCCAGAGCAAAACCGTAGAGGGGAGAGGCTACGTGGTGCATCCTGGGAGGCGGGTGAGGGTCAGGCTGGGCAGGAAGGACTCTAAGCCACTTGTCCTGATGGAACATTGCAGCTTGGACGGTGTACACCTCAGCATGGCTGGTGAGCAGGAGGAGGAAGGGCACCCAGAGCCTGAATGCTGTGCACTGTTGAAGACTGCCACAGAATGGGGCCAGGGGGCACCTGGGAGTATCTCAGGTGGGCTCAGCTCGTGAAGCATCTGCCTTCAGCTCAGGTCATGATCCCGGGATCCTGGGATGGAGCCCTGTGTCGGGCTCCCTGCTCAGTGGGGAGTCTGCTTCTCCCTCTCCTTCTGCCCCTCCCCCCGCTTGTGCTTTCTCTCCCTCCTTTCAAAATAAATAAATAAAATCTTAAAAAAAAAAAAAAAAAGGAATGAGGCCAGGAGAGCTCTTCCATGATTGAGATGAACATTCGTATCGTCTTTGTTAAGGTCGGGGGTGGGGGACCAGATCCATTTTAATTTGATTTAGGAAAGTGAAGAAGTGTGATGTTTCTTATATCCAAAGGTCATGAAATTTGTAGCAATCCTTGCTCTATAGCACAGTGTCAGAAGGAAGAGACCTACATCACACTTGGAACTTGCCTGGGGGAGGTGGTCAAAGGCGAGGAAAACCTCAGGCAAGACAAGGGAGGTGGTTACTGTCCAGCTGTAAGGATGCCAGATAGGGTCCACAGGGAGGAGGGTGTTGGAAAGTTCTCCGTGGGAATCCTCCGCTGACAGTGCTTCCCTGATCTGACGCCGCTAACGGTGGATGTGGGATTTGAAATCATACAGTAAAAATGTAGCGCCACCCGCTGGAGAAAAGAAAGGGTCAGCATTGTGAGGAAGGACAGGGAAGGAAGAGGAACAGAGGGGATGAGAAGGAAAGGGCAGAGAGGTCGAGGTCCTGCAGGTGGGTGGGAGCCCACATGGAGAAACATCTCCTGGATCTCCATCCGGGAGTCCTCAGCCTCCCTTGGGGTGATGGACCCAGGAAGCACAGACACCCTTGATCTACAGCAAAAAGGATTTCTCATATGGGGAGAGCTAAGGGAGCTGAACTGATTTTGTAATTATCCCATTAGAATTTAATAAGTATTTAACACCCCCCCCCCCAGCCTCCACCTTTTGCAACTGTATGCACTGTTGGTTGCCTGTCTGGTTTGATTTCTCCCTTCTTGTTTTAACAAACCTGATTGTGTTCATGTAGTTGCTGTATATATCCCTGCCTCTCTTTTGACTGAAGCAAATTTGCTCCACCTCTAGTCACCCCTAGGGAAGTCCTGATTGGTCATAGTTAATCAGAACAAGTCCATTCTCCTTATCAGCCCTTGGCTAAAGGATCCAATCTAAACCAATCTCCATGACTCTCCTCGAGTCAGTGCCTTAGGTCCAGAGACAGATAGGTTGCCTAATTGGACCAGTTGGGCTGAAGGTAAGGACATATGTCCCATGGTTGAAAGATTTGCTGTTCCTTCCATTAGACATGACCAAATAAACATGTTGTTTCAAAGCTTATTTGTTCAGTTTGATGACTCTCTTTTGAGCATAGAGTCTAAAGATGAAGCCAACATGCAGAGGAGGGTAGCACTGGGAGGAAAGTGGAGCCTTGATCCACTTTGATCGTGCTATGTCTGCAGCCACTCACCTCTGAACTTTCTGCTACATGAAAGAAGATATCCTTGTATTCTTTAATTAAAGTTGGTTTTTCATTTCCTTTGGACACTATGTGAATTGCTTGCTTATCTAGTCTCTGCTTGAATATTTTAATGATGAAAAAAATCAGTATCCCTGTTCATTAAGCTTTGGAAAGCCCTAATTGCCAGAAGTCCTTTCTTATATTGAGTTAAAGTGCACCTCACTGTCAGACTCATGCTTTGTTCCAGGTTACACAAGATGGAACATGCAGGACAGAAATGCCCTGAGGTACAGGTGGACACAGTGTGTTTGGGAGGTATGTTGCCTTTAGAATCAGGCGCATCCGAGTTCAATTGCTGGCTTAGCCATGAATAAGCTGAGTGAGTTTGGGCGCTATGGCCGCTTGTTCAATGGCCACAAATTCCTGCTGTCCCAGTATCCTCCTCCTCTGAATGGGACTTAGAGCTGCTCCCATCCAGAGATGGTCTAATTCTTCACCTTGAATCTGGGCTGGACTTGGGACTTGCTTTGGCAAAAGAGACACTGGGGTGTAGTTTTTTTTTTTGGGGGGGGGGGCTTGCTGTTTCTGCCCTGGCCTCTGGGATGCTACCCTGAGCCTGCTATATAAGGAAGTCATGTAATTGCAAGAGGTGACAGGATGCACGAGGGCTGAGCTGCTGTAGCCAACAACCCACATCAGCTGGTGCACACGTGAGTGGGGCCATCTTGGACTTCCAGCTCAGAGGTCCACCAGCTGAAGGCAGGTGCATGAATAAGTCCGAGCCAGCCAGCTGAAGAACCATCCAGCCAACTGATGCTGTCTCGGAGAAATTGTAAATCATTGTTGGCTTCAGCCATGGGTAGTTTGTTACACAGGAAAGGCCGACAGAAGCGGAAATGTGATTTCTTTACACATCCTGAGCTGCTGTGTCTTAATCATCAAAGGGGGAAGATAATATTTTTTGCACAGTTGCTAGTGAGAATTAATGCAAAATATGCAAAGTGCATACGTAGCTAGTACTGCAGGAGGTGCACTTCATTTGCTAAGTAAGTGGTAGCTGTTATGCAAACTTATTTTTTAAAGACTTTATTTATTTATTCATGGGATACAGAGAGAGAGAGAGAGAGAGAGAGGCAGAGACACAGGCTGAGGGAGAAGCAAGCTCCATGCAGAGAGCCTGACATGGGACTTGACCCTGGGTCTCCAGGATCAGGCCCTGGGCTGAAGGCGGTGCTAAACTGCTGAGCCAGCCGGGCTACCCCTGTTATGCAAACTTTTAAAGTTATCACTTTCCTCATTCTTAGATTTTATTCTCTGAGGTTAAATCCTGTTTCCTTGGACTTCATCTGGTTTGAGAAGCGTTCCTGGCAATTTACTATGTATACTAGCCCCCTCCTAAAGTAGTATGACACATGTACTCTGATCATTGCCTGGGACCAGGCAACAGTGGCCTCCAGGAATAGCTGCTTGCACGCTGCAGGTGCTGAAACAGCTCTGCTCTTGATTCACAGGCGCAAGTCAAGGCTCCTTTTCCAGTTCATCCATTTCTGCTGACTGACGTTCTGCTACCTGTTGATGATCAGTCTCCCAGTGCTCTGACTTGAGCGGCTGCCAAGTCAGGCATCCCGTCTCTGATCCTATGCAGGTGTTTTCTTGGAACTTACACCTGGACTTCACATTAAACCCGGTGAAATTCCATTTTGTTAGTCTTAGCCCGCCAGCTGGCCAAGGTCCTCTTGCTCTTACATCTGTCATTTGTTTCTTCCCTGGCTGCGTCCATATGAAATGATTATTTCTTACATTTTTCTAAAAAAATGGGTAACAAAAAAATAATGTTCAGCAGTAGAGAGCCAGGGCAAGAGTCCCAAGGTACAGTCCTCCATAACTTCTCTGAGTCTGGTACAGAGTCAGTAAATATCAACAACAGCATTATGTGTGATTGCTTTCACATCTGTCTGCGTGGTAATGCACCGCCCAGCGAGCCTGGTGGCAGTTCTTCCGTCATCTGAGTAGACATCTATATGGGCAGCTAAAATCTTTGCTGAAATCAAGATGCACATCTGATAATGCTGACCTGAAAAAAACCCTTTACTGAGTAGCCAGACCACAATCAGTGTCTTTTTCTCTTTATCTGATCATAGACTATAAAACCTGTAGTAATGATTATACAAAATATCTTTTGGAGCCAATGGTAGTGGACTTCCAGCCCCTGCCCCTGGCAGTAAATCAACTGATCAGCTTCGGGGCATTTGAGAAGTCAAAGGGAAAGAGGGAGGGTGTGATGCCAGGACAACCTTCACCTTGTGATGGTCGGGACTTCTGCGTTGCCCAGCCAGAGACCTGAGTCCGCATCCGTGTGAGCGCAGGTGTGCAAGCGCAGGTCACCTCCCCGCGTCGCTGCAGCCTCTACACCGGGAGGCGGAGGTGGCGTCCTCAGCGTGTTCCCAGGCCTTGTTTCTGCAGCCCCCCAACTGCGGTGCGGGCGGGGGCGCCTACTGCTGCACCCGGAGGCTGGTCCTCCAGGGAAGGGCGGTGTGGGCCACCGTGCTTCGTGCAGCCGCTGCGACGGGTGGTGGGGCGGGGGGAGGCGTGCGGACCTGGGCCGACCCGGGTGGACCCTGCACCCCGCGCAGTCTGGAGGTGCAGACAGCACCTGCGGGGCCCGCGCGCAGGGTGACCCCGTGTTCCCCCCTACCCCGCGGCGGCCCTCCCCAGTGCTTCGTGCAGCCGCTGTGGCTGCTGGTGGTGGTGGGGTGCGGACCCGGACGGACCCGGGGGAACGGTGCACCCCGCCGCGTCTGGAGGTGCAGACAGCACCTGCGGGGCCCGCGCCCAGGGTCCCCCGCCTGGCCCCGCACCGTGCCTCGTGCAGCCTCCGTGGCGGGGTGCGGCCCTGGGCCGCCCCGGGGGCGCGCGGCAGTCGGCGGGCCAGAGCCGGGAGCGCCCCGCCGCCCGGGGCAGGGCCGTGGCAGGGGCGTGACCCGCCCGCGGAGCCGGCGCGCACGCGCAGCGGGGAAGGCTCGGCCCCCGCCGGAGCGCTCGGGTCTGCGCCTGCGCACCCGGCCGTCCGTCCGCCCCCCCCCCCCCCGGAAGCGCCGCCGCGCCACGTCCGCGCCCCGCTCGCCGCACTGCGCAGCCGCCGCGGGCCCGGACCCGGCGGAGCCCCCCGAGCGCCATGGGCCGCGGGGCCGCGCTGTCCGCCTCCGCCTCCGCCTCGGCCGCGCTGCTGCTGCTGCTGCTGCTGCTCCGGGCCGGGCGGCCGCGGGGCGCCGAGCTGACCTTCGAGCTGCCGGACAGCGCCCGCCAGTGTTTCCACGAGGACGTGGACCGGGGCGTCCGGTTCTCCCTGGACTACCAGGTGGGGCGGCCCGGGGCGCCCCGCCCGCTGCCGGGATGGGGGGGCGGGGGCAGCGCGGCAGGTGCGCTGGGGCCGGGCTGCGTGGGGCGGATCCGCCGCGGCTGCCCGCCCGGGCCCGTCCTCCCGGCCTCCCGGCCCGGCGTCCCGGCCTCCCGGCGTGGCGGCCCCTCCCTGGTCCTCGCCGGCCGCAGCCGCTGCGAGAGGCTTGTGCCGCGGACAGCGGGGGGGGGGGGGGGGGGGTTGTGTGTGTGTGGGGGGGTTGTGGGGGGGCCTCGGGGTCGCTGATGCGGCCACTTCAGCCCTGTCGCTGCAGCGCGATCATTAGGAGGCTGGAGGGGCCTCGGAGGTCACTGCAAGGTCGGGAATCCCCTGCCAAGGGCCGGTCAGCTTAGTCTAAACCCCTCCAGCCGCAGGGCGCTCACCACTTCGCAAAGTAAATTCTCCCACCTGTGCAGAGGAACTTTGGAAGTTTGGAAGCAGATGGAGGCAGTTGATACGTCCCTTGGTGGACCTGGGTTGTAGCTATTGACCGCCTGTGTGACTCTGCCGGGTGCCCATCTTCCTAGGTTTATAAAGAGAATTTGAACTTCCGAATTTCCCGGGACCCTCTTCCCTCTGATGGCCACTTTAATCTGCACTTGCCTTCTTGCACTCAATCAGTAGGGATACTAATGTTTACTAGACCCGCTCTGCAGTCCCCTTGAGCCTGGTGCCATAGCGTCCTCTCTGTAAAATGGAAAGGATCAAGCTCATTGCACACTTGCAGACAGGGATTCAGATCTTAGTCCTGTCACCTTTAAGCAGTGTGACCATGATGACCCATTTCTCTCTCAGCTTGAGTGTAGTCCCCAGTAAAACAGAGTGTCCTGGCACCTACTTTAGGACGTTGTGAAGATTACCTGAAAACAAAAACATTCCTAAAGTCTGATGGTGGTGCCTGGTCGGCATTTAGTACTGGGTGGTTGCCCCGCTGGTCGCAGCGCACTACGGGTGTCTTTGTGGTTGTCAGGTCATCACTGGAGGCCACTACGACGTGGACTGCTACGTGGAGGACCCGCTGGGGAACACAATCTACCGAGAGACCAAGAAGCAGTATGACAGCTTCACGCACCGGGCTGAAGTCAAGGGCGTTTATCAGTTTTGCTTCAGTAACGAGTTTTCCACTTTCTCTCATAAGACCGTCTACTTTGACTTTCAAGTTGGTGACGAGCCCCCCATCCTCCCAGACATGGGGAACAGGGTCACAGCTCTCACGCAGGTGAGTGGACGTTGGAGGGCATAGGCTGGCTCAGCCTTCAGTCTGTCCCCCTTCCGCTCCTGTCATGGCTGTTGCTCTGCGTCACCACCCCATCCAGCTGCAGGGCTGGAAGGCTCAGCGTGGGCTTCATTCCTCCCCACATTCAGTCCTCGAGGACACTGTTCCCCTCTGGCCCCCCTGCATTGTTTAGCGGGATCCCTGGGGTACTCTCCTCTGGAATTCCTCGGTTCCCACCCAGGCTTGCAAGCAGCACTGCTTTAGAAGTGCTGTGCTCCCCTCTCGTTACACTGTGTGTCTGCATCAGAGGCCGGGGGCCTGCTTGTGTGGTGTGTTAGTTACGGTAACAGGAGCCACTGTAGCAGGGGTGCCCCAGGTGTCGATGGCCTAACACTGTGGAAGATTTTTCCTCATTCAAGTGATAATCTAGGTTGGTGGAGAGCTTTCCTCCAGGGGCTGACTCAAGAACCTGGGGTTTCTCTTTCCTGTCATCTCTCTGCTGCCCCTCAGGACTCCAGGCCCCTCTATCCCTGACCACAGAAGAAGGGGGCATGAGAAAGCCCCACCTGTTTCTTAAAAGCCCCTGCCCAGAAGTGACATACAGCACGTGCGTTCCTGCCGCTCATAGTCACGTGGTGCATCTGTGTGCAGGGCAGGCTGGTAGATATGTCCCACTGTGCAGTGCACTCGTAGCAGGGGCCCTACACTCTGGAATCGGGGCAGATAGTCCTCTCCGTTGTGCATGGTGCTCGGGGTCAGTGATAATCTGATCCCAGGCTCCTTCATCTGTTTCCCCCCACCCCTGTTGGTAAAGCTCCTACCTCTCACGTGGAGGCCCCCAGCTTCCCGAGGCCAGCGCTCCATGTCATTTACCTTGCTATCCCCTGCGTCCCAGTGCCTGGAGCTTGGCAAGGAGTATTTATCCAGTCACTGAGTGACAGGGCCCAGGGAACCCTGCAAGACAGGGATGATCATTGTGGATCATTGTGGAATGGATCATTGTGGCCACAGTTCTTGGACCAGAGCATCTGAGTCTCCACCAGGGCCAGGTCATGATCTGGGCTGCCTCTAGGTGGCCCCTGCTCCTCCGTGGCTCTGCCCATGGGCTCCTCTGTCCTCTCCGAATGGTGGAAGGCTAGTGGTGCGCTGTCCAGCATAGTGGCCAGGCTACACATGGCTGTAACAATTTAAATGTGTTAAAAATTAAATTTAAAAACCCCTTCCTTGTTGGCTCTCTAGCAGCATTTCTGGTGCTCAGCATCACAGGTGGCTAGTGGCCACACATGGAGAGGTGCGCTGGCAGCACTGGCTTTGAGCCTGGCTGTGTGACTCTGGTAGAAGATGCAGCCCGGGCAGGTTCTGTGTGGGAGCCTGCACAACCTGTCCGCTATGTTAGCAAAGGAATCCATACTAGGATGAAAGAGCAGGATCCAGAGTGACCGAGGCCCAGGCCAGGGCTGGAGGCCACGGGGACTTGGTCAGAGGCCTGGGGCTGCCTCATTGGTGGTCTGGGAGGATTAAATGTTTTCCTGTGCCTGCTCTGAGGTCAGCTCGTGCTTCCCCATCTTTGAGTTCTTGAAGTCTGTAAAGAACCAAGTAATCCTGCCAGTGGAGGCCTTCTGGAGGCGAGGCCTGGGGGAATGTGCTGGTGGTCACAGGCTGAAGGCCTGAGCACCACTAGCTGGTCGAGACAGGATGAGACAGTGGGCAGTGGAGGAAGGGGATGGTCCTGGGTAGGGGACAGGTCAGGGTGTCTCCAGGGACCAACTGTCATGATGGAGCAGCAACCAGGATGCTTGTTGGGGGGCTTTCAGACCCTGGAAAGCAGCTGGGGCTGGTGGTCTTGGCAGTGCAGAAGGCTGCACTCCACCCTGCAGGCCACATGGCTCTGGAAAGACAGAATGTATTCCGCTGGCAGCTGGACGGATTGCCCAACTGAAATTTTGTGGTACCAGGCCGAGGAGGTGCCTCTTAAACCAGCACTGGTGGAAGGTCCCTGTGGATGGGATGGAGTGTGCTCTTGTGGGAGGTTGACGCTTCCGGGTGTGTGCCATCAGGTCTCCTGTGGGGCTGTGCCAGGTCCTAACTAGATGCCAGGAAAGCTGTGTTAGCACCTGCTGTGGCTTGCCCTCTGGGACCTGGCCCCCTTCCCTGTCACCAGTTGGATCTGAGACTTTGCAGTTGCCTCGGCTCTCTGCCCAGAACCGTCTCTGGCCGGTCTCTGGCCCATGGCCTCTGACCCAGGGCTCAGGTGGTGCCTCTCATGGCACATCTCTGATGTGTCCTCTACACCCATGACTTCTGAGTCCTTCCTCTTCCTCCCTCCATCTGCCCCTTGGGCACTCCTGTGGGAAGGGTGCCTCCACCTCCCCCTGTAGGACCAGCCCTGGGTGGTCCCACCATGCTACACCCCCCTGGCCAGCCCCATTCAGGGTGCATCCAGTCTTCTCTATTGTCCTTTAGTCTGTGAACTTGTGGCATCCAGGACTGGCCTGAGCCTGCTCTGTGTTTGATCCCTGGGGCCTAGCACAGTGCCCGGAAGCTGGTGAGGCATGAATCGCCGTACACGTGAGTGAATGTGTTAGTGGAAGTCCAGACTGTGAGAGAACAGCCAGCAAGCACCATTGAAGTTCTTGTCTCATTCCTACAGGTGCTCGTCTGTAGCCCTCACCCCCTGGCAGTGATTCGGGTCTTGCAGGGATGGGCAGAGCAGTGTGAACGCAGACCATGTTGACTTTCCACATCTTCCCGCATAACAGGGAGTGACCAGAAGTGAGCACTAGGGAGGCTCCTGGAAATGCCATGTCTTGACTTGACCTGGATGCAGGCTCCCAGAGCGTAAGCCTGACTGTGCTGCTGCCCCTTCCCTGGTCCTTCCCAGATTGGTCCCCTGTTCCTTCTGTGAGGGTGGCTGTGCTTTCATGAGCTCTAGAGGCATCGCCAGAGGCCTGGGGGGCAGAGGGGAACGTGCCTGCAGAGGCTACCATCACCTCCAGCACAGAGGTCTGTGCCCAGAGCGGTCCTGCTGAAGGCTGTCATTTGAAGCCAGTTGGCATTGAAAGTCCCCTTGGGGACCAGCTTCTTGACATCAGGATCCCTTCTAGGATCAGCTGGCTGTTTCTCAATATCAAGCAACAGTAGGTACGAGCTAACTACCCAGTGCCGACTACTTTGGCCTGGAGATTATGACCCAAGATGGCAAGGTCTGCAGGATGCCACCCAGAAAGCAGTATAGAGGTACCCTTGGGCAGCCCACTGGAGGCCACACAGGCTGTCCTTTATCATGGAGTCTGCCCACAGGGTTCTCTGAATTCCATCTGATGCTTGGTGACCTTGTCACTACTCCATCTGTGTGGCTCTTCCCACCTCTTACCCACAGGCCAGAGGAGAGGGCCAGCCATGTGCATGGAGGAGACCCATGGCCCTGGAAGGTAGGCTGGTTGTCAGGCGGACCCAGGACACAGCCTCCTGAATACAAGGCTGAGGGGATGCCTTTGTCTTTCCTCATGTGGCCCAGGAGTCAGGAGTCCCCAGCCAGAGGAATAAGCCAATGGCACTTTTTGGCTGGAGTCTCGAGACCCATTTGTCTTCTGGGGACGGTTTAGTTTGTGTGAGAGAGGAGGGTCTTGGGGGTCAGTGAGGTGGTGGTGCAGTGACTCGGTCTCCCCTCCTTATGCTCACTGTGTGGATGGTTCACCTCTGCAGTCTGGGGACCGAAGCAGGTGACTGTTGGACACTTTGCAACTGCTGCAGCCCGAGAACGTGTTGTTGGGATAGAACTTACTAGGTCTTGGATGAACTCACGTGTTAGAGATTGCCCGTGAGAACTCATGACCACAGACGTATGTACATGAGTTCTGATCACCACGCACCTGATGGCCTCAAACCACACCCCTTTATTACCTCCACCCCGCAGGTGGGAAGTCCGGCCGCTCGGCTGGGTCTGGCTGGGGTCCTCCCAGGCTGGGTCAGGGCATGGCTGGTGAGACCTCATCACGGGGCTCTGGGAGGCTGTCGGTGGATTCAGTTCCTTGCAGCTGAAGGACCGTGGCCTGATTTCCTTGGCTTCGTGCACCCGCCCCAGGCCTTCCTCTGGTCCCTGCATGTGCCTCTCCATCCTCAGGGCCAGCGGTGGCACACCCAATCTACTCCTTGGGAGGGCTTACGGGATCAGGTTGGGCACCCTGGGTGGTTGCCACATCGAGGAAGGCTGTGCTGTCCAGGAGGAGAGCTCATCCTGTTACAGGCGCTGCCATCAGGGCCGGGCGTCCTGGTGCTGCTGGGACGGTTTCGGGATTCTTTGTGGCAGGTGCAGTAAACCCGTGTGTGTGACGTATATGAGAGGCACGTGTTCCTGTGTGTGTGTGTGTGTACAGGACACTATGCAGAGATTGTGTTCAGCAGCGGAGCCCCACACGGTCGTCATTTACTTCCCTGCTGCTTGTTAGCTGTGTGACCTTGGGCACATCACATGGCGTCTCTGAACCTCTGTTCCCTCATTGGCACCCAGCGTGGTAGGGGCCGTGGACCCTGCCCGTCGGGTGTCAGGAGTGTGAAGAGAACACTCCTGAAAGCGTTTGGCTCGGGACTCAGGTGGTGAGTGCAGACCTGACTGCCACCTGCCAACCTGCAAGGGTGGCCCAGGTCCTTACCCTCCCTGAGCCCGTTAGCTCATCTGAAGATGGAAGTGAGGCGCAGATGCCCTTCGCACAGACATGTGCTGCCGGGGTGTGGGCCGCCTTCCTCTCTTGGGGGGAGTGTGACTGCCTCTTTCTTCCTGCGCAGATGGAGTCCGCCTGTGTGACCATCCACGAGGCCCTGAAGACCGTGATTGACTCCCAGACACATTACCGGCTCCGCGAGGCCCAGGACCGGGCGCGGGCGGAAGACCTCAACAGCCGGGTGTCTTATTGGTCTGTTGGCGAGACAGTCGCCCTGTTCGTGGTCAGCTTCAGCCAGGTGCTGCTGCTGAAGAGCTTCTTCACGGAGAAGCGAGCCAGCCCCCGGGCGATGCACTCCTAGGTCTGCGTCCTGCCCCGGGCCCTGCCGCCAAGCTGCAGCGGCTCCCCCAGGGCGGCCCTGGGCAGGGAACACAGGTGGCCCCCCAGCAGCCAGTGCCTGCAGAGCCCAGCAGCCCGTGTGGCCCCAAGGAGGGCATTCGGTAGGGAAGGGCCCATGGTCTGGCTGTATGAGGACCCCCAGTGCCCTGTCCTCCTGGGGGCGGCTCAGGGCGCTCATTGTGCTCCACAGAGTGGATCGCTGGGCTTGCATGTGTCCTGTCCTCCATGGAGGGGAAGGGCCATCCATGTGGCTGGGCTCTGTGTCCCCCCCCCCCGCCCTGGGGGGCAGAGGAGACCTCTGAGTAAGCAGCAAGGGCCTGTGGCCGGGTGCTGCCTGAGGTGAGTTGCGTGCCTCCCAGAGGCAGCACTCTGCCTAATAAAAACTAAGCAGGAGCCCCATGGACCCTAGTGCTTGTATTTCTTTGCCCTGACAGAGCGTGCAGTGTCCTGGGAACGTGGGTGTGCAGGGTGGGGGGCACCTGCTGCCCATGAGGCGTGTGTGAGGTGCTGCTTGCTGGGGAGCAGAGCCTGGGGTCATTTGCCCTCCTCCCAGTGGATGAAAGCGGTGAAGTGGGAGCTGGTTATCCTCTAGGGTCAGACTCCGAAGGTCACTGTGGAGGCATCTGATTGTTGTCCCAGCACAGGGGCTGAGGACAGGAGGGGACAGAGCAGAGCAGTTAGTGGCTGTGCTGCGTGCCATTTCCACAGCAGCCACGCTGGTCTCTCTCTGTAAACCTTAGGTCAGACCATGTCTTCCCTGGTTGACACCCTCCGTGGCTCCTTGTGTCCCTCAGGCCATGGGGGACTGTGAAGTCTCGCCTCTTTGGGTACTGGCTGCTTGACCCCATGTCGTCATTCACCCCTCCCAGGTCTCCTTGCTCTTCCTGCCACGCACCAGGCTATGCCTCTGCCCTGGGGCCTTTGCACACACAATGTCCCATGAGAACACCTCTCCCTGATACCTGTGTGACCTCCATCGTATCATGGTTAGATGTCATGTTACCCGCAGGTCGACCCTCACCACTCCGTTCAAGATGGAGTCGCCCCACCTGCCCCTGCCTCCTGCCTCCCCACCCCTGCTTCACTTCTCAGCTATGTGTCACCACTGATACAGATGTTCACTTGTGCATGTACTGTCCCTCGTGCCTCGTGGGATGTAAGGTCCACCATGGGGATGCGGGGCAGGGGGATGGCTTTGCTCGCTGCTGCAAGGCGTCCTGCAGACTCAGATCTTAACATGTACCAGTTGCTGAGCAGATGGCCTCGCCTGTTGGAAGTTAGTGTGTCTGACCGAGCGTCTCTGAAGTAGGTCTCCATGGAAGATCTGAGGTCTGCCCTAAAGACATCTTCCGAGCGATCCGAAACCCAGCTGCCTGGCTGGTGCTCTTCCTGCCTTGTAGGCACAGAGGCACGGTTTGCATCGTGTGGCAGAGAAGCTCCATGGGGCCTGCCTAGCTTGGTTCAGTGAGGGATGCTGCTTATCTGTTCATAACTGTTTGATACTATTTCTTCTTCCTTATTTTAAAAAATAATACCTTCCTGGGGCCCCTGGGCAGCTCTGTTGGTGAAGCATCTGCCTTCAGCTCAGGTCATGATCTCGGTCCTGGGGTCGAGCCCCTTGTTGGGCTCCCTGCTCAGCGGGGAGGCTGCTTTTCCTTCTGCCCCTGCCCTTCTTGCAAGCTCTCCTCCTCTCTCAAATCAGTCAATCACTTTAAAAAAAAAATTGATATCCTCCTCAAACTGGGAAGGAGGGAGGAAGGGATGGATGGTCAGTTGCTGCAGGTTCTGGGAAGCGAGTGTTAGCGGAGAGTCACAGCCCCCAGAAAGGCCGGCGCTCCTGTGGTTGTACCTTGTGCTTGCACTCTGCTCCTTCTGGCCCTGCTGCGGGACTGCGTCTGTCTGTGAATGTGCCCCGCGTGCTGCTGATGGGACACCTGCTAGTTCTAGCTCTTTCCTCACAATGTCCAAGAAAACATGAGTAAATAAACCAGATATGATGGTGCCTGAGAGCTCGAACATCTACCTGGAAACATGAAACCTGCATCCTGACGTTCTGCTGCTCCCTGTGGGGATGGGCAGTCCAACCACTCCCCTGCGCTGTGCTCACTTCGGGGCTCTCTCATTTTGCCTTATCCCAAAACAAGCCGTGCAAATTACAATAGAAGGCAGTTGCTGCCCTGAGGTTAATGAGGGTGGCAGACGACAGCCATACTTTCCTAAGAAGATGCCATGTGTTTGGGGGCTTATGTGGAGAACCGGGAGCTGGAGAAGGAAATGCCATGGTCTGGGCTGCTGGAGCCTGTCATGCCACCCCTAGGAGATGACCCTGCTACTGCTCAGCCCTCCATGGATGCCACTTGGCACATCCATACTTCCTTGTGGAATGTGACTCCATATTCACTTTAAAACATTGCCTTTCGGGGCGCCTGGGGGCTCAGTGAAGCATCTGCCCCAGCTCAGGTCATGGCCCTGGGGTCCTGGGGTCCAGCCCTGCATCAGGCTTCTTACTCCTTACATCCCTCCCCCTCACATGTGCTCTCTCGTTCTCTCAAATAAATAGATCTTAAATAAAGTCTCCTTTCTTATTAGGAGTGCCTGTTGCCAAAGGAGGGGAGGCACAGGTGGGTCAGGTGGCTGTGGGATCTGGGGAGGAAGACAGAGTCAAGGCTCTGTCTCTTGGATGACCAGTCATCTGACTGCTTATATAATTTGCCTTCAAGGGGAGGGTGTGTTTGAGTTGCATTTTTAATTGCAAAGTATTAAAAGCCACGTTCTCATTTTTGATTTATAAAATTGTATTTCAGGCAATTTTTTTTAAATTTCAGGCAATTAAAGTATTAAGTGGAATCTATTCTTCCATACGCCAAGCAGGGCAACTCATCTTTTTTTTTTTTTATTTAAATTCAATTTAGTTAACATGTAGTGTATTAGTTTCAGAGGTAGAGGTCAGTGATTCATCAGTTGTATACAACACCCAGTGTTCATTACATCATGTGCCCTCCTAAATGCCCATCACCCAGTGACCCCAACCCCCACCCCCTTCCTTCCAGCAACCCTGTTTGTTTCCTCTGATTAAGAGTCTCTTATGGTTTGTCTCCCTCTCTGATTTCATCTTGTTTTATTTTTCCTCTCTTTCCCTATGATCCTGTTTTGTCTCTTAAATTCTACATATGAATGAAACCATATGATAATTGTCTTTCTCTGACTTATTTCTGTTAGCATGACTCTCCAGTTCCATCGACATCGATGTAAATAGTAGATATTCATCCTTTCTGATGGCTGAGTAATATTCCGTCATACGTATAGACCATGTTTTTATCCAGTCATCTGTCGAAGAACATCATGGCTCCTCTCACAGTTTGGCTATTGTGGACATTGCTGCTATGAACATTGGGGTGCAGGTGTCCCGACATTTCACTACATCAGTATCTTTGGGGTAAATACCCAGTAGTGCAATTGCTGGGTCGTAGGGTAGCTCTATTTTTAACTTCTTGAGGAACCTCCACACTTTTGCAGAGTGGCTGTACCAGTTTGCATTCCCACCACCACATGCAAGAGGGTTCCCCCTTCTCCACATCCTCTTCAATATTTGTTGTTTCCTGTCTTAATAATTTTAACCATTCTGATTGGTGTGAGGTGGCATCTCATTATGGTTTTTTGATTTGTATTTTCTTGATGGCAAGTGATGTGGAGCATGTTTTCCTATATCTGTTGGCCATGAGTATGTCTTCTTTAGATAATTGTCTGTTCATGTCTTCTGATGAAAGGGCAGCTCAGCAGGACTGGTCCTCAGATCTGGAGCCCAGGTGGACCACACATGTGAAGTGACCCTTGGTTTATATGTGGTCCAGCCAGCGCTGCAGAATGTGCTGAGTCTGTACTGGACATGGTGGGTGGGCAGCAAGGGGCATGCGTGTGTGTGGGCATGTGTGTGTGTGTGTGTGTGTGTGTGTGTGCTCATGAAGGGATGTGTATGGAGACCCCAGGTCATCTTCAGGCTGGTGGCCCAGCAAGCACCCATCCTCCACACCCAGCCTGGAGAAACCACAGAAGCAGGGGAAGCCTGCACCTGAGGACTCCCCTACATACCCGACCATGGAGCCGCATGTGGAAAGGTGGGAGGTGCTGAAAGTGAGGCTGGAAGACGAGCTCTTGGGCTCTGACTCACCAGTCCCCTGTTGTCCTGAGGCTGCCGTGGCCTTTCCCTCCACATAGAGTCAGGGCAGCAGTTCACACTGCTGTGTCTGGGGGACAATGAGTGCAGATCACAGGCCCTGTCCGAGGTCGGCAGGCATGGCTGGCAAGAATAGGTGCAAGCTGACCAGCTGTCCTAGGGTGCCCGCTCAGCCCTGTTCTGTCCCTGACAGTCACAGGCACTGGATTGAACAGATTGTTGCACACCACAACCCTCCATCCTGGGCTCCATCCTCCTGTCCTAAACTCCCTGGAAAGAATCCAGCTAGGGCCTGGCCTGGGTTCTGGTCCATATGCATTTCTGGGCCTGGGGGCACATGAACTCCCAGGCCAGGCAACAAGGCCCCAGAGGACAGCGTGACAGCAACACTACACACTGATCACTATGTGTCATTAGAAGGAAAACCGTTGGGACACATGGGCCAGAACCTTTAAGTCATGTGATAACGATGCTGTGAGATTTTAATGACAGTTTGCTGTTACAAAAGTCTAAAGAGAACTGGGTGCAGAGGTTGTGCATGAGGAACGCTAACCTGGCAGTGAAGGTGACCACAGAGGGGCTGAGGTGCCCAAAAGTCTGCCATCCTGCCCTGAGGAGCTGGGTAATAAGAAGGTGAAGCCAAGGGAGGTGGGAGGAGCTGGGGGTGCATGTAGTGCAAGGAAGAAAAACATGTGTGAGGTAGTGAAATCCTTTGAGGGGAGATGGGAGGTCCCAGGACAGAGCCCACAGAGGGACACGCTTAGCACCCGCATGGACACACAATGACCGGCAGGAATACAGAAAGCCGAGGGGAGGCCCCATGCGCCTCCAGAGATGAGGAGCCAGTCCCCTGCCCATCAGACTGAGTCAGATTTCCCCCCAGAAAATGGGGTAATAGTGTCCAACAGAAAAGGCAAAACCAAACTATGGGTTTAAAAATCCACCTGCAGCCAAATCATCAATAGGAAAGCTGGTCGGGGGCCCTGGCAGGGCAGAGGAGGAGAGATGAGGTGGGTTGTCACCTGCCTCAGTCCCGGGGACTGTTGTCTGAATGGTCTGAGGCCGGAGGAAAGGAAGAGACCCGTGGCAGCCAAGCACCCGCGTCCTGATCCAGGGCAGCTGTGTTTGCAGCTGCCATTTGAGATGCTACGGGTCGGGTTCCTGACTAATCTGGGAGGAATCCTGCTGTTGATGAGTTGAAGAAGGCTGCAGGGCTACATGGGTGTGTGCTTGGGCCTTAAGTGAAGAGCAACCACCATAGGAACAAAATCAGAAATGACAACTTTGAGGTCGGGAAAAGAACGCGGGATCTGTCCAATGAGAAGCTGGAAAGCAGAGAAGACAGCGTGGGAAATGAAAACAGGGATGAAGATAGACACACATCTGCATTTTTTAAAAAAGATTTTATTTATTTATTCATGAGAGACACAGAGAGAAGCAGAGACACAGGCAGAGGGAGAAGCAGGCTCCATGCAGGGAGCCCGACGTGGGACTCGATCTTGAGTCCCCAGGATCATGCCCCGGGCTGAAGGTGGCGCTAAACTGCTAAGCCAGCAGGGCTGCCCACATCTGCATTTTTCTAATTGAGGAATGGTGACAGTGTAACCAATGAGAAAAACTCTCACATAAACACATAAGATCCAAACGCAGCATGCTGCTCATGACTTAGGAAGAAACGCTTGGACACATCTATCCCCCGGCACTGGCTTGGCTCCTGAAACTCTTAGAATTTCCTAGGTGATAGGAGCACCAGAGGCATCTATTGTCCTAATGAGGTGACACTGGGAGGCTCCCAAGTGGGGGGCCAGTCGTGGGAAAGACCTGGTCACACTCAGAACTTTAGGATTTTCAGCCCCATGCCCCATACTCCAGAGAGGAGAGTGGAAGGATCACACCTACGTGGTGAAGCCTCCATATAACTCCCAGCAGTGGAGGGTGCAGGGAACTTCCGGGCTGGTGAACACATGGGGGTGTTAGGAGGGGTCCCCTGGAGGGCACAGAAGCTCCGCACCCCTCCCCATACCTCACCTGAGGCCTCTCCCATCTGGCTGTTCACCTGCCTCCTTTATCATATTCTTTTATAATAAACTGTGAGCAGTAACTAAACTGCTTTCCTGAGCTCCGAGAGCCACTCCAGCAAATTAATGGAACTTGAGAAGGGAACATGAGAACCTCCAATCTGTGGCCGGTGGGTCAGGAACACAGGTGACAGGCTGACCTCGTGACTGGCGATTGATGTAGGGACAGCTGGGCAGGACTGGGCCCTTGGCTGGCGGGATGTGACACTGTCTCCTGGTGGATGACAGAGGCAAGTGACATGAGGACACCCCGTGGGTGCCACACAGCTGCTCGGTGTGGGGAACCACCTGCTATCAGAAGCACTGTGAGTGTCTTGTGTGTGTGTGAGGAGACTCGAGAGGAAGTCAGAATTTCCATCATCCACGGGTGGAGTGGATAGCATGCAAGCACCTCCTGCAGTGGACCCTTGAGGACTCCCCTGGTTCAGAAGATCCAGACCTTTCCCGCCAGGGCACCCAGAGAGCACCAGGCCTCCCACACTCCAGAGCGGCTTCCACTGAAGCAACAGGGATGAGCTAGGTGTGGTGGGCGGAGTGGGGAGTACTTAGGGCAACCTGAAGCCCCTGTTTTACTAGAACCTTCCTCCCTTTAAGACACTTGCAAAAGAGTGAGTTTCTCTTAAGGACAATGCTCATTTTTTATGCCCAGATACAGACAGCGATAGTTCGATAGTTGATTATCATCAGGAATGCACTGCCTTTGAGAGGCTTGGCCACTGTCCTGAGGCAGGATGGGCAACTCCTCAGACA